AGAAGAGGTGGCAGCTTGCAGCAGCAAAACAGTCGGTTGGGGTTTTTCTCAATCGCCACACTCTGCCATGTGCCACTTTCAGGTCTCCTTCCTCGACACACTGCTGGTGTGGTCCATTTATTTGTCATAGGGTGCTGGCACGGATTACGCGACAAAGTAAACGTAGCCGTATGTCGTCCTACTGTACGGCCAGAAAATCCAAGCGGGGCCTAGGGGCCCATGATTGGGACTACAGCATTGCGGCACGCAGGATGCAGCTTCGCCATTTTGGTGGCCTGGGAAAACCGTGATAAAGATACGGCGGTTCTGCCTGCCCCAGCCCCCCTCCATCACCCCGCTCCGTTACTTGCTCCGTCACCCGATCGTCAATCGCCTCTATCAGCCAGTCAAGGCTCCAACACCTCTGCTGAGGGGAGTTGTCGCTCGTTGGCATCTTCCGCTCGTTCAGATGCTCCTTCTCCTGCTACTCCTCTTCACGGATTCCTCAGCAGTCTTTCTTGGAATCCGTTTCCAAGAGACAACAGTTTGCGAGCACGCACCCGACGGTGCAAAAGCTGAACGTCCTCCTGTCCAAGTTGCTGGTGCTGCAGTCCCTGCAGCACCTCCCTTTCCAAGTGGTGGACTCAGCACCTTTCCGAGAAATGATGGCTTGTGCCGCGCCGCCGCGGTGGAGAGTGCCAAGCCGTCATTTCTTCGCCAAAAAGGCAGTGCCAGCCCTGCATTCACATGTAGAAGAGATGGTGGGGGGCCAGTCTTTGAGCATGTCGGTCTCTGCCAAAGTGCACGGCAGCGCCGACGTGTGGAGCTGTAACTACGGTCAGGGACAGTACATGTCATTTACGGCCCACTGGGTGAACGTGGTGCCGTCACAGCCGCACCAGCAACTTGGACAGGTCACGCCGCTTTTGCCTCCACGTTTGCACGTCCTTGGTCCGGCAAAGATGTCCGCCTCTACCACCTCTTCTTCCGCCGTGTCCTCAGCCGCCACCCCCCCCGTGCCAAGTCCCATTACCCGACCGGCATATCACATGTGCAGGGCGCAACGGTGTCACGCTGTGCTGCACCTGGTATGCCTTGGCGAACGTAGTCACACAGGGGAGGAACTTCTCAGTGTAATGAACAGAGAAATCGACAACAACGGAAAGAACATGGTGTCTGCTCTGCGTCAAGGAAGGTTGTGCCATGCGCCATGCATGGCTCACGTGTTCAATCTGGTTGTCAAGCGGTTCCTAAAATCCACCATCCCACTGCAAGACATCCTTAAAATGTCACGTAAACTTTGCATGCATTTCAGCCATTCCTACACCGCAAAGCACACCCTCCTTGAGCTGCAGCGGCAGAACGGAATTCCACAGCATCGCCTGATCTGCGACGTTGCAACAAGGTGGAATTCAACCCTACACATGTTAGACCGCCTTTACGAACAGCGAAAGGCCATCACCGATTTCCTGATGTTACAAGCGGATAAAGGTACTCCCCTGTGTAACTTCGATGTCAGCCATTGGCAGCTCATGCGTGACACCTGCCGCTTGCTCAGGCCCCTTGAGGAGGCCACGCTATTCGTGAGTCGGCAGGACTATGGGATGAACGACGTCATTCCTCTGTTGCACGTCCTGGAACAAATGCTGTTAACAATGGCTGGTCAGGGTGCGGTAGACGTGGCGCACAGATCTCAACGCCACATGACCCCTGTGGGGGCAGGACAGGAAGAGGAGGAGGAGGTAGAGGAGGACATTTGTGCTCAGGAATTATTGAGTGAAATGGGTGGTTTTTCCACTCAGCGGACAGGAGTGGAGGAGCAGGAGCATCTGGTAGAGAGAGGAGGAGGAGGAGACAGAGGACCCAGACGCACCGTGGCAGTATGCTGTGGAGATGGAGGCAGGGAGTCCCTCGCATTCCTTGGCACAAATGGCCCATAGCATGCTCGGTTGCTTGCGTAGCGACAGCCGAATAATAACCATCAGACAGAGGGATGACTTTTGGCTGTCCACCTTGTTGGACCCTCGCTACCGTTCAAAAATGGTGGCCTTTTTCACACCTGCTGAGAGGGAGGCCAAAATAACGTACTATAAAAACCACCTATGTAGTCAGTTGGTCTCTGCCTTTCTGCTGCGCCAACGTCCATCCTCAGACACTGTGGGCCCTGTGCGCTCGCGTTCCGCTGCCATGGCAGCAGGGGAGGGGTGGGGTGGTAGGAGCAGTGGCAGCTCCACCAGCAGCGGCTGCCTCAGTCTGCAGTCGATGATGAGTAGCTTTCTTCACCAGCGCAGTGAGGAAACTACTAACCAGCCGCAGCAGCAGCAGCATCAGGTGGACCTGGAGCAGGACCTCAAACAACAGGCTTGGGCCTACTTGGACAGCACCCTGCCAACCGAGGTAGACAATCCCCTTGACTACTGGGCAACGAAACTTGACCTTTGGCCCCAACTAGCTGAATTTGCCCTTGAAAGGCTGTCATGCCCGGCCAGTAGCGTGGCATCGGAGCGCGCGTGTTTAGTGCGGCAGGAGGTATTGTAACTCCGCGGGGACACGACTGTCCACCCAAAGTGTGGAGAGACTCACGTTTGTGAAAATGAATCAGGCGTGGATTAGTCTGGATTTCAAACCACCAGTTCCTGACACAACTGACTAAATCCGCCATGAATCATGCCCCAAACATGTGCCACTTTCAGGTCTCCTCACACTGCTGGTGTGTTCCATTTTTTGTCATAGGGTGCTGGCAGATTACGGGCCTCCCATAGCTGCTGCCAGGCCCCTAATCTGCCATGGGCCCCTATACCGCCTCCCTCATGCTGCTGCCAGGTCCAGAGTCTCTCATGGGTCCCTGTACGGCCTCCCATTGCTGCTGTCTCCATCGCCACACTCTGCCATGTGCCACTTTCAGGTCTCCTCACACTGCTGGTGTGTTCCATTTTTTGTCATAGGGTGCTGGCAGATTACGGGCCTCCCATAGCTGCTGCCAGGCCCCTAATCTGCCATGGGCCCCTATACCGCCTCCTCATGCTGCTGCCAGGTCCAGAGTCTCTCATGGGTCCCTGTACGGCCTCCCATTGCTGCTGTCTCCATCGCCACACTCTGCCATGTGCCACTTTCAGGTCTCCTCACACTGCTGGTGTGTTCCATTTTTTGTCATAGGGTGCTGGCAGATTACGGGCCTCCCATAGCTGCTGCCAGGCCCCTAATCTGCCATGGGCCCCCTATACCGCCTCCTCATCTGCTGCTGCCAGGTCCAGAGTCTCTCATGGGTCCCTGTACGGCCTCCCATTGCTGCTGTCTCCATCGCCACACTCTGCCATGTGCCACTTTCAGGTCTCCTCACACTGCTGGTGTGTTCCATTTTTTGTCATAGGGTGCTGGCAGATTACGGGCCTCCCATAGCTGCTGCCAGGCCCCTAATCTGCCATGGGCCCCTATACCGCCTCCTCATGCTGCTGCCAGGTCCAGAGTGTCTCTCATGGGTCCCTGTACGGCCTCCCATTGCTGCTGTCTCCATCGCCACACTCTGCCATGTGCCACTTTCAGGTCTCCTCACACTGCTGGTGTGTTCCATTTTTTTTGTCATAGGGTGCTGGCAGATTACGGGCCTCCCATTGCTGCTGCCAGGCCCGTAATCTGCCATGGGCCCCTGTACCGCCTCCTCATGCTGCTGCCAGGTCCAGAGTCTCTCATGGGTCCCTGTACGGCCTCCCATTGCTGCTGTCTCCATCGCCACACTCTGCCATGTGCCACTTTCAGGTCTCCTCACACTGCTGGTGTGTTCCATTTTTTGTCATAGGGTGCTGGCAGATTACGGGCCTCCCATTGCTGCTGCCAGGCCCGTAATCTGCCATGGGCCCCCGTACCGACTCCTCATGCTGTGACGTTGCAACAAGGTGGAATTCAACCCTACATATGTTAGACCGCCTTTACGAACAGCGAAAGGCCATCACAGATTTCCTGATGTTACAAGCGGATAAAGGTACTCCCTGTGTAACTTAGATGTCAGCCATTGGCAGCTCATGCGTGACACCTGCGCTTGCTCAGGCCCTTTGAGGAGGCCACGCTATTCGTGAGTCGGCGGCAGGACTATGGGATGAACGACGTCATTCCTCTGTTGCACGTCCTGGAACAAATGCTGTTAACAATGGCTGGTCAGGGTGCGGTAGACGTGGCGCACAGATCTCAACGCCACATGACCCCTGTGGGGGCAGGACAGGAAGAAGAGGAGGAGGTAGAGGAGGACATTGGTGCTCAGGAATTATTGAGTGAAATGGGTGGTTTTTCCACTCAGCGGACAGGAGTGGAGGAGCAGGAGCATCTGGTAGAGGAGGAGGAGGAGGACAGAGGACCCAGACGGACGCACCGTGGCAGTATGCTGTGGAGATGGAGGCAGGGAGTCCCTCGCATTCCTTGGCACAAATGGCCCATAGCATGCTCGCTTGCTTGCGTAGCGACAGCCGAATAATAACCATCAGACAGAGGGATGACTTTTGGCTGTCCACCTTGTTGGACCCTCGCTACCGTTCAAAAATGGTGGCCTTTTTCACACCTGCTGAGAGGGAGGCCAAAATAACGTACTATAAAAAAACCACCTATGTAGTCAGCTGGTCTCTGCCTTTCTGCGCCAACGTCCATCCTCAGACACTGTGGGCCCTGTGCGCTCGCGTTCCGCTGCCATGGCAGCAGGGGAGGGGTGGGGTGGTAGGAGCAGTGGCAGCTCCACCAGCAGCGGCTGCCTCAGTCTGCAGTCGATGATGAGTAGCTTTCTTCACCAGCGCAGTGAGGAAACTACTAACCAGCCGCAGCAGCAGCAGCATCAGGTGGACCTGGAGCAGGACCTCAAACAACAGGCTTAGGCCTACTTGGACAGCACCCTGCCAACCGAGGTAGACAATCCCCTTGACTACTGGGGCAACGAAACTTGACCTTTGGCCCCAACTAGCTGAATTTGCCCTTGAAAGGCTGTCATGCCCGGCCAGTAGCGTGGCATCGGAGCGCGTGTTTTAGTGCGGCAGGAGGTATTGTAACCCGCGGAGGACACGACTGTCCACCCAAAGTGTGGAGAGACTCACACGTTTGTGAAAATGAATCAGGCGTGGATTAGTCTGGATTTCAAACCACCAGTTCCTGACACAACTGACTAAAATCCGCCATGAATCATGCCCCAAAACATGTGCCACTTTCAGGTCTCCTCACACACTGCTGGTGTGTTCCATTTTTTGTCATAGGGTGCTGGCAGATTACGGGCCTCCCATAGCTGCTGCCAGGCCCCTAATCTGCCATGGGCCCCTGTACCCGCCTCCTCATGCTGCTGCCAGGTCCACAGTGTCTCATGCCATGTCCCCACTTTCATTGGTCTCCTCACACTGCTGCCATGTGTTCCACTTTTTTGTCATAGGGTGCTGGCAGGTGCTGGCAGATTACGGGCCTCCCATAGCTGCTGCCAGGCCCGTAATCTGCCATGGGCCCCTGTATACCGCCTCCTCATGCTGCTGCCAGGTCCAGAGTCTCTCATGGTCCCTGTACGGCCTCCCATTGCTGCTGTCTCCATCGCCACACTCTGCCATGTGCCACTTTCAGGTCTCCTCACACACTGCTGGTGTGTTCCATTTTTTGTCATAGGGTGCTGGCAGATTACGGGCCTCCCATAGCTGCTGCCAGGCCCCTAATCTGCCATGGGCCCCTGTACCGCCTCCTCATGCTGCTGCCAGGTCCTCATCTCTCATGGGCTGCTGCCTCCCATTGCTGCTGTCCCATGCCACATGCCATGTGCCACTTTCAGGTCTCCTCACACTGCTGGTGTGTTCCATTTTTTGTCATAGGGTGCTGGCAGATTACGGGCCTCCCATTGCTGCTGCCAGGCCCCTAATCTGCCATGGGCCCCTGTACCGCCTCCTCATGCTGCTGCCAGGTCCAGAGTCTCTCATGGGTCCCTGTACGGCCTCCCATTGCTGCTGTCTCCATCGCCACACTCTGCCATGTGCCACTTTCAGGTCTCCTCACACTGCTGGTGTGTTCATTTCCATTTTTTGTCATAGGGTGCTGGCAGATTACGGGCCTCCCATAGCTGCTGCCAGGCCCCTAAGAGTCTCTCCATGGGCCCCTGTACCGCCTCCTCATGCTGCTGCCAGGTCCACAGCCACTCATGCCATGTGCCACTTTCAGGTCTCCTCACACTGCTGGTGTGTTCCATTTTTTGTCATAGGGTGCTGGCAGATTACGGGCCTCCCATTGCTGCTGCCAGGCCCCTAATCTGCCATGGGCCCCTGTACCGCCTCCTCATGCTGCTGCCAGGTCCAGAGTCTCTCATGGGTCTCTCATGGGTCCCTGTACGGCCTCCCATTGCTGCTGTCTCCATCGCCACACTCTGCCATGTGCCACTTTCAGGTCTCCTCACACACTGCTGGTGTGTTCCATTTTTTGTCATAGGGTGCTGGCAGATTACGGGCCTCCCATAGCTGCTGCCAGGCCCCTAATCTGCCATGGGCCCCTGTACCGCCTCCTTCATGCTGCTGCCAGGTCCAGAGTCTGTCATGGGTCCCTGTACGGCCTCCCATTGCTGCTGCCTCAGCAGGGTCGCAGCTGTCATGTGGAGGTTCAAACGGCCACGGAGTAGAGCACCATTTTTTTTCAGGTGCTGCAGCCTACACCACGGCCAGTAGTGGTGCCATTTTTTGCATAGGTAAGTGCAGCCAGTGAGGGGCCCCAGGATTACGGGGGCAAAGCTATGCTGCTGCAGGTCCCAATTTTTCTCAAGCCGCCCGAGGAATCTCCCAAACTGGCCGTATGTACCGACTATCCTGGCAGAAAGTCAAGCGTTGCCAGGGGTCCTCATGGGTCCCTACAGCGTTGCGTCAGCCATGCTGCTGCTCCATCGCCACACTCTGCATGTGCCACTTTCAGGTCTCCACAACGGCTGCTGTGTGCCCCAGCCCAGGGTTCCTTTTTGTCATAGGGTGCTGGCAGATTACGGGCCTCCCATTGCTGCTGCCAGGCCCCTAATCTGCCATGGGCCCTGTACCGCCTCCTCATGCTGCTGCAGGTCCACAGCAATCTCTCATGGGTCCCTGAACCGCCTCCCATTGCTGCTGTCTCCATCGCCACACTCTGCCATGTGCCACTTTCAGGTCTCCTCACACTGCTGGTGTGTTTCCATTTTTTGTCATAGGGTGCTGGCAGATTACGGGCCTCCCATTGCTGCTGCCAGGCCCGTAATCTGCCATGGGCCCCAGTACCGCCTCCTCATGCTGCTGCCTGGTCCCACAGTCTCTCTCATGGGTCCCTGTACGGCCTCCCATTGCTGCTGTCTCCATCGCACCACACTCTGCCATGTGCCACTTTCAGGTCTCCTCACACTGCTGGTGTGTTCCATTTTTTGTCATAGGGTGCTGGCAGATTACGGCCTCCCATAGCTGCTGCCAGGCCCCTAATCTGCCATGGGCCCCTGTACCGCCTCCTCATGCTGCTGCCAGGTCCAGAGTCTCTCATGGGTCCCTGTACGGCCTCCCATTGCTGCTGTCTCCATCGCCACACTCTGCCATGTGCCACTTTCAGGTCTCCTCACACACTGCTGGTGTGTTCCATTTTTTGTCATAGGGTGCTGGCAGATTACGGGCCTCCCATTGCTGCTGCCAGGCCCCTAATCTGCCATGGGCCCCCTGTACCGCCCCCTCCTCATGCTGCTGCCAGGTCCACAGTCTCTCATGGGTCCCTGTACGGCCTCCCATTGCTGCTGTCTCCATCGCCACACTCTGCCATGTGCCACTTTCAGGTCTCCTCACACACTGCTGGTGTGTTCCATTTTTTGTCATAGGGTGCTGGCAGATTACGGGCCTCCCATTGCTGCTGCCAGGCCCCTAATCTGCCATCTGGCCCCATGGGCCCCTGTACCGCCTCCTCATGCTGCTGCCAGGTCCACAGTCTCTCATGGGTCCCTGTACG